TTGGAGCAAATGAGCTCCATACCTATTTATAGGCCTCTTAGGAAGGTTCTAGATACTAGCATACACTTACTACATACTAGATAACTCTAGAACTATCTAACATACTCTACATGCTTCCATATGTTTCTAGAACGTTCTACCATGTTCTGGAGAGGTCTAGGTTGCTCCAGTGTCTTCTAGAATGATCCATATCCTTCCAGGGTCTTCCATGTCGTTCTAGAGTATTCTAGACTCTTCCGGTATATTCCAGAGTCTTCCATAGTCTTCCATAATGTTCTAGAATCTTCTAGAGCATTCTAGAACAAGCTAAAGTCTTCTAAATAATATTTGTTTTATTGGGCTAGTGATGATCTTTAACACTCCCCCTCAACACTAGCCCTCATTCTTCGTACCATGTTAAGCTGACAACGAAAACCTTCACATTTTCCAGTACTCAGCCCTTTGGTGAACAAGTCTGCTATTTGGTCATCGGTCTTGATCTGCCGCATCTCAATTTCTTCCATCAAGACTTTTTCTCTGATAAAGTGATAATGCACTTCCACATGCTTTGTTCTAGCATGAAATACTGGATTTTCTGCCAGCCGAATTGCAGATTGGTTGTCACAGTGAAGTGGTACTGCATAGTCAACTTTTTGATGTAAGTCCTCCATTAGGAGTACCAACCATGTACTTTCTTGAGCTGCTACGGCCGCTGCTTTGTACTCCGCTTCCGTGGTTGACAATGATACTGTTGGTTGTCTTTTACTACACCATGATATTGGTCCCGACCCAAGCTTGAACACATACCCAGTGGTTGATCTTCGGGTATCATGGTCTCCTGCATAGTCAGCATCACAATATCCAACCAACTTGCAGTCTTCTCCTCTTTTATACAAGAGACCATAGTCAATTGTACCTTTGACATATCTCAAGATCCGTCGGGCAGCATCCAAATGAGGTTTCTTCGGACTTTGCATGTATCGACTCATAACTCCAACTGCATAAGCAATGTCAGGCCGAGATAAAGTTAGGTAGATAAGACTACCTACTAGTTGTCGATACATCGTTCCATCATCCAACTCTTTTCCTTCATGAGCACATATCTTGGAATTTTGCTCTATTGGTGTTGATATTGGCTTACACTCCAACATGCCAAACTTTTGAAGTATATCTCTTGTATACTTTTGTTGGCAGAGGAACAACCCTTCCTTTGTACGATCAACTTCTAACCCCAAGAAGTGTTTAAGCTCCCCCAGCTCTTTCATTTGGAATCGCACCGATAGATTTTCTCTTGTTTGATGGATTTCTCTTTCGTCATCCCCGGTGATGATCAAGTCATCCACATAAACCAACACAATTGCCAACTTTCCTTCTTTTTCTTTGACGAACAGGCTTGAGTCTGCATGTGCAACTGAATAACCACTTCGGGTAAGAAATTCAGCAATCTTACCATACCAGGCTCTTGGTGCCTGCTTCAATCCGTAAAGAGCTTTTCTCAGCTTGCACACATGAGTGGGATTAACTGCATCCTCAAATCCCTTTGGTTGGTTCATGTAGATCTCCCGATCTAATTCTCCATGCAAGAAAGCATTCTTCACATCCATTTGCCATAATTTCCAGTCTTTACTAGCCGCAAGAGCTAGCAGCACCCGTACAGTAGTTATCTTCGCCACTGGACTAAATGTTTCATCATAGTCCAGTCCATATTGTTGTGAGAACCCTCGAGCCACCAAACGAGCCTTGTATCTTTCAATTGATCCATCTGTGCATCGTTTTAATTTATAAACCCACTTGCAGGAAATCGGTTTTATATCTCTTGGTCTTGGTACCAGTTCCCACGTTTGATTCTGCTTTAAGGCTGTAACTTCTTCTTCCATTGCCTTCTGCCAAGCTTTATTCTTAACTGCTTCTTCATATGTCTCCGGCTCTTTAACACCGTCTTCTAAAATGGCCGCATTAGCATACTTGGGATTAGGCTTTCGGATTCTTTCTGTCCTTCGAAGTTGTGGAGGCGGCGGCTCCTTTTCACCGGCATCACTTGTTTGAGTTACTTCTTGCTCAATGACATCAGTGTCGCTCGGATCTTCAGGTGTATCAACACTTGACCAAATATGTGCAGTTTGCTCCCCTATCTTTTGTTTTAAAACTTCTTCAATATTTTCCGAGTCTGGTAGTACTTTCTTCTCTGAGGACCACCATGAAGATGCTTCATCGAACACTACATCTCTTGAAGTGTAGCATCTTCCACTTGTTGGATCACAACATCTCCACCCTTTTCTTTGATTGTCGTATCCAACAAATATACACCTGACTGCTTTCTTGTCAAACTTGCTACGTAAATGACTAGGCACAAATACGTAGCAAACGCAGCCAAATACTCGGAAGTAGCTAACAGTAGGTTTCATGTTCCATAGTGTCTCAAATGGTGAGATGAAACCTAACCTTGGTTGGGGAAGTTTATTGATCAGATGGGCAGCAGTTTGCATTGCTTCAGCCCAAAATCTTCCTGGGACATTCTTCGCATGTAGCATGCTTCGACAAATTTCTGCAAGATGTCGATTCTTTCTCTCAGCTACACCATTTTGTTGAGGTGTGTTGGCACATGTGAATTGATGACGTATACCACATTCTTTTAGATAGCGATTGAATTCTTCTGAGGTGTATTCTCCTCCATTGTCTGAGCGTAGACACCGAATCTTCTTTCTCACTTCTCCTTCGACCGTTGTCTTGAATTCTAGAAACTTTGAGAATGTTTCAGATTTTTCTTTCATGAAGAAAACCCACACATATCTCGAATAATCATCAATGAACGTCACCATGTACCGCATCCCGCTAACTGATGTCTGCTTGACTGGACCGAACACATCTGAGTGAATTAACTCTAGTGGCTTCTTTGCTCTAAAATGTGACTCCTTGTATGGTAATTGATGAGCTTTACCATACTGACATCCAGCACAAACAACATCTGTTTTAACTTCAAGTTGAGGTAAGCCATTGAGCATGGATTTCTCCATTATTACCTTCAACTTGTGATAACCAACATGTCCCAGCCGTGCATGCCATAGATCTGTTGTCTCATTCTTACGAGTCTTATCTACATAGGCAGACTCTGCGGAGAGCACATAAACGGACTCCACTCTTCGTCCTTCCATTGTTGGCGTTTCTGATATTTTAAGATCTCGATAGACCTTCACATCTTGTGGGCCAAACAAGACGTAGTTGCCTGACGATGTTAGTTGCGATACCGACAACAAGTTCTTCTTCATACCTGGCACGTGATACACATTATGTAGTGACACCATGTCAGATTTATTACCAGGCATGATCGTCGTTTTTCCAATCTGAGCAATTGGAAGTCGTGCATTGTTGGCTGTAAGTACCATGCGACTCCCTTTGTACTCCTTCACGTCTTGTAGTTTGTTCTGATCGCCAGTCATGTGATTGGAGCATCCTGAATCAATGATCCAGTCATTTTCATAGTTGATACGCTCTCCCATCATTGTCATGAGTGCCAACTCATTTTCTTCTATGGCACATAATGCCTCAGCATCCCATTCATCCTCTATTTCCTTTTTGGAAGTTACTACATTGCTTTCCACATACTTTTTCTTTGACCAACAATCCTTGGACATGTGGCCCCACTTTCCACAGTTGTTGCAGTTGCCTTCGAACCTCCTCCCCCGAGAACTCTTATTGTCGGTCTTTTGAGATCTCCATGGTTGTGAGGTTCCTGGTTGACTCTTCCCTTTGTCAGCATTTTTGTATCCTTCTTTAGGAGGTGGCTTAAAATTCCTCCGACTTTTACTTGTGTAGAGTGCTTCTTCTTCACTCTTCAGCGTGATGCCTCCCATTTGCTTAGCCATAGCTTCTTGGCTAGCCAGCAAATTCTCAAACTCTACAAGTGATGGTTGAGCAGGCCATCCTTGTACAGCAGTAACAAAGCTTCTATATTCCGGCCTCAGTCCATGGATAATGATCCTCTTCATTCGAGCTTCTGCAATGACGGATTGCGGATCTAGTTCAGTAATCTCCCGACATATCGACTTGACCTTGTGGAAATATTGAGCAATCGTCATGTCACGTTGTGAGATTGATAATAGCTCGTTCTCCAAAAGTTGTAGTCTCGTATCATTCTTCTTTGAGAAAAGCGTCACAAATGTATCCCAAGCTTCTTTCGGGGTGTTCTCATCCCGAATATGCTCCAACATCTCTTCTTCGATTATGGTCTTCAAGGCAAACATTGCTTTGCCTGCTTTGATTTTCCATTTACGTAAAGCACCATTAACGTCTTCCTCTGGTGGCGTAGTTTCGCTTCCACCAACGACCTCCCATAGATCTTGTCCTTGTAAGTAGGACTTCATACATGTTTCCCACGTTTTGTAGTTGTTGTTGTTGAGTTTCTTGATTCCTCCGACGACTTGGAGATCACCCATCGTGTTGGCAGTACCTCGGTAATACCAAACAAGCTAGTTTCGATACTAAACTTGCAGAGTCACAAACTACTCACGATACAACGAGAATCACTCGTTCTCACTATCAAGAAACCTTGCTCTGATACCAGATTGTTGAACACGACTCTTTTATATGGGAAACAACAAGACTTTTATTAACACACTTAAGGAGAACTTACACTTTGTGAGACTACTACACACTTTGCTTTCTTTGAGGCTTTCTTGGATGGTTTGGAGCAAATGAGCTCCATACCTATTTATAGGGTCTTAGGAAGGTTCTAGATACTAGCATACACTTACTACATACTAGATAACTCTAGAACTATCTAACATACTCTACATGCTTCCATATGTTTCTAGAACGTTCTACCATGTTCTGGAGAGGTCTAGGTTGCTCCAGTGTCTTCTAGAATGATCCATATCCTTCCAGGGTCTTCCATGTCGTTCTAGAGTATTCTAGACTCTTCCGGTATATTCTAGAGTCTTCCATAGTCTTCCATAATGTTCTAGAATCTTCTAGAGCATTCTAGAACAAGCTAAAGTCTTCTAAATAATATTTGTTTTATTGGGCTAGTGATGATCTTTAACAGGCAATTGAAGCAGAGTCATATTTGCCGACCTTGGGATGGTGATTGCAGTACATGTATCGTCACTTCCATCACCAACATTACTACTATCAACACCATTGTTGTTCGCCCATTCAGTTTCAAATAGCTCTACTATTGACTTACAATTCCATATTCTCAACTCTTCAAGCTTAAGCAGCCGTCCCACTACATTGGATGGAAACACTCTTGATAGGGCAGGACAAGTTGATATAGTAATCTTTTTGGAGTATTGGCATAAGAACCACGAAGCAACACCGACTTGAGAACACTACAACAACACATGAAAAATCAATGGAGCTGATTGAATTAACAAAGCTTAGCTGTTTGCTACACACATACACACTACAATTTAACATATCATTTGTTTCTAAAAGTGTGGTTACAAACAGGAGTGCTTCCCACAACTAAGCTAATTATGTAACAATGTGGACAATGGAAGTTGAAATCCAAAAGGGCAATATACAGAAAAATCACTACATTTCAGCTATTTCTTTGCAGTTTAACAACTCCATTTCCGTTTTAGCTTATTAAACCTACCCTATATTAAGTATTGACCACATTGACCTACTATTGCAGGTTAAAGTGGTCATAATTGGAGAAGTTGTCAAAGTTTAGTCCATTTTTTTTTTACTAAAGCCAATCAACTTTTACAATTTTCTATTGCGACCACTTTAACATGGTATAGCAGGTCAAAGTGGTTGGCATAGAATATTTCTCCAAACTTGGTTGACTTTCATGAGACAAACTAAAATCGAGTGCCATGATTAATAAAGAGAAAATAAATGGCATTGGACTTTTCACAAATTCCAGGTCACCACTGGCGTGACACCTCAGCAGAAACATTTATATGGTTCTGGTGGTGGCAGACAGAATCAATGACACGAGGCAAGTAGAAGGATCAGTAGAAGCATACTTCTGAAAGACACAAGACAAAATCTATCTGAACGGAATCAGGATGAAGATAGAAGACCACCTAAGCCGCAAAATGTGGGCCTAATTTTGAAGGACTCAAATGGTTTACAAGATGAATTTTATGGTGAAAAAATAGATAAAAGGTCTAGGAATAAAGAGAAACCAGGTGTTTGGACTCCTTAAGGAGAAGGTTTGTCAAATGACCAAAATACCCTCGTTATATATATATATATATATATATATATAACCAAATAACTAAAAACAAGACTTAAGTAGTATCCAATGCTTATATTGTTGGCAAGAGAGAATAAGTAGATGGTGGATGAAAGAAAAGGTATACTAAATCAATCATAATAGCGGCCTTATATATGCTTACAGAAAATTATGACAAGCCAAGGAAACAGACACACGAAAAAATAAAACTGCAACCTGCTAATTAACACAACTAATTAGCATTTATTAAAACAGAACTTGAAAATGAAGAGACTTTGAAGTACTTTGATTAGCAATTAATCAACATGAAGCAAAGTATGACACTGGAAGTGGACATGGTGGTCACGATAATGGTTAGTCTCATCTTTGAAACTAAAAAAGACAATTAATATCAGATATAAACACATGAAAGCATGATATAAAGCATAAAATAAACAAATATTTCACCTGGAGTTATAGCTATGAAATTTGCTTATCTGAACTGAAGAAGGTCTAAATGAAAGAAATAACAATGCATTTCCATTTATTCGTTTATTATAGCATCCTACTTTCATTTCTTTATATTGCAGTAACGGAAATCCTTTGTATTTGAATGAAATTGCAATAAATGGGTGAGTTACTTAAATTACAATGCTTTGATAGGAAAAAATGAAAGTAAGATGATCTTATAATCAAAACAATGAAAGTAAAATGCTATTTCTATAATTTTAGACTTTAATAAATGACCCAAGACCACCATATAGGTACTTTGAAAATCCACGCAATTATAGCATTGTACTTTCGACTTTTCTTATCAGGCCGCTGTAGCCACATATAGTGGTTTTTCTATGACCCAATTCAAAGTATGATGCTAGAACCGGATGAAATGAAAGTAGGATGCTATAATAAGAAAATAAAGGAAAGTATGTTGAACAGAGAAAATGACTAAAATATAGTGGTTTTTCTGTATATGGCCTAGTTCCAAATTAGTATAGTGCCATGGTTTATGAAGAGAAAATAAAAGGCATTGGACTCTATAACCCATTACCTCCTCAATGTAGGAAAATGAAAACATAACTTTACTCCTAAATTTATTATGAGGAAATGAGTTTACATCATTTTTTTTGTTTTAAATAATTTTACTAACATGAACGATTAATTTAAGACACAGTGACAAAAGGAAGAAAAATATAATATGGAGAATATTAGCATCTGATCAGCCGTTATTAATAATTAATTTATTCCATGTCTTCCATCAGGTGTGTGCTACATCTAAACCCAAATATATTGGTCTAGCTTATCTGATCTTTAGAAAAGAAAGTTTATATTTTAGCATTTGTGAAAATAGAATTATTGAGAAGGCCAACTCCAAGGAACAAATAATGACTCTTCTCAATATCATTGTCTATCGTGAAAATAAAGGCCCGTTTATTATACATCTATGATTGTTCATTAGATTGTATATTGCAAAATCTATCTTGATTCTAATATTCAGAATAGAAAAGCATTTTTAGAACAATTTTTTTTCAAGGGAGTCGTTTTCAATAAAGACTTGGGAAATTATTGTTGATAAATGAAGATCTTAAGATTTTCCCATAATTGACAATCTTGTCATTTGGCTCGATGATCGATCAATGTCTTATATTTAATACTTTTAAAAAAAGTTGTAAACAAGAGTCTTTTGCCACATATTGTATTTATATATTTTCAGTTGGAATGCTAGATATAGTTAGATAAAGTTTCATTATTTTCAGATCCATGTCAGAAAAAAAAAGATATATATATATATTTTTTTGAAAGAGTAAAAAAAAAAGATAGTTCTTTTAAACAACAAACTGAACTTTATTAAGCTAAAATTGCAAGCTAGGAAACAAAAAAAGCATCAACAAAAAAACATGAATAAAATCATTTTGGTTTCATTTTTCATATTACTTAACAAAAAATCAAGAGTAATGTTGATATGACTTGTATACATTTATCAATCAATTTTTTTCTATCCCTCACAGTCCGGTATAACTCCACCATCCATTTTAGTTAACTTAGCTAAAACCGGATAAAAAATGTATTTGATATGATTTATAACAATGCTTAAGAGAAATAACTTTAATGACCTTTGCAAACGAATAAACTATAAAGAATTTATATGCAGTTATTTATTTTGTCTTTCAGCTTTAGAAGAATTAGCTTATTGAATTATATAAAGCAGCTAATGGAGAAGAAAATATTACAATAAATAATAAAATAAAACAAATAACTGAATGTGTAAAGGATCCACTAGTTAAGAGAAATGATACCTTGAACTGATCATGGATGGAAGTAGTTGTGATCGTAGTACCGCCATCGATACTCTTTAGGCGTGGCAAAGACTGGAGGAAGAGCAAATCAAGAAGAGGGAAGGAGGAGAAGGTGTTTGTGTGAGTAGAAGATATTATTTCTTCATTTTCATCATTAATATCTCTATTTGAAACAACTTCTACAATACCATCACAATTCCATATCTCCACCTCCTTTAAGTTGGGAAGAAGTTTGCCCATGACAGGTGAAAATAAGTACATTATGCTATGACACTTTTCCATGTATATGGTTGTGAGGTTGTGGAATGAGTAGGATTGTGATTGGTTTTGAGGAATTACAAGTTTCTTCCAATTGAACTTCCACACATCACTCATCCTCTCCACATCTTCTAACCATAAGGATTTGAGGTGGGGAAGTAGTAGTGGTGGTGGTTGATGATTATATTTATGCAGAGTTGTTGTGAAATCTGTGCTGCTGCTGCTGTTACTGGAACTCTCTATCTCAAACACCACTTCAACATTATTACACCTCCATACATTAAGTCCTCGAAGGTGATTAAGAGAAGGTATGGGATGAATTGAGGATTCAACGTTAGGAATGTTACCATCCACCTCTAAAATGATCTCTGTCTTGGATATAACATTAATCTGCAAATATTCAACAATAAATATAATTTAGAATACCATTAACTAAAATTTAAATTAATTATTCATAAATGGCACACCTCTTTAAATCTATTTACATAACTGAAGTTGACAGTGATTAAATTAACGGATTTTAAATAATTTCCAATGATGACATAATTGATACCTACAATAAATAGGCAAAATACTCGCACTTACACAAATACATAAAAATTAACATTTTTAGACTAACATACAAAATTGGTTATCTGATTTTTTGGTTTAGGTACAAAAAAATCATTTTGCAATTTTGATCCCCATCACTCACACTGTTAACTTAAGTCTGTTAATGCCTTATAAAACGACTATTTTGCCCTTCTTTTATTCTGTATTATTAATTATCATGGAAATTATTCATAGGTCCAACCACCCATAACTACGCCACTGTCCCCCTCTTTCCCCTTTCACCATCTTCCCCACCTAGCTCCCGTATCTGTTCCTCCGTTGCAATCACTTTCCTCCACTACCATATCAATCTCAGGTGCATTTTCATCATCATCAAGCATGGAAAACGCAAGGCATAGCATAAACTCAATGACGATATCTTATCATCTTCAACACATTATTAAGATGCGAGTAACATAAAACATATACCCACTAAAATAGAAAAAACTTTGGTTATCAGATGAGTGAAATCTTAAATTTAAGTGAAAAATTTGTAGGATATCTGGGGGATGATGCAAGAACATCCAATTTCAGGTGAGATTTACAAACAATTGGATTGAGATATCCTTTAAGGCTTCATATATAACCTAATGAAGGAGACACAGAGGGGAGCCGAGATGGTCACTAGGAGGGAGAACCAAGATAAAGGGGATGAGATTTTAATACTTACTCTATTTTTTACCATAAATCAATAATTTTGAATGATCACTTAACAATGTGGTGTAAATATGTAATATTTGAAGTTACAATTGTTAGAAAATATTAAACAAATGGTTAAGTAGAGAGAAATAATAAGAATTAGAAAATAAGAAAAACCTGCTTATAAAAATGTAAAATTAATAATATAAAGGTTGAACGAGATATACTTAGCAATGTAGAAAATCTAGCCTCCTTCTCCACACTGAAAAATGTAGTATATAGGGTAATTTGTCAATGTTTTTAAATGTGGAGTATTAAATTGTTTATCCACATTTTGAAGTGTAATGGTTTAACAATAATTTGTTCTGACACACTTTTAAGTGTGAATAATTGATTGATTTATTGTAGTGTGATATGTATATATGTATATGTATGTACGTACACACACTCACACATGTAGATATTGTTGAAGAGAGTGAATAACAGATGAGATCAAACTATCTATGGTTAGTATTGAGAAGATCAGATAAACGTGGAAGTTATTCGGTGTTGTTACTATCATATCCCTTCCTTGTATAGTTCCTTATTTTGTGTACAAATCCCTATATATGTAATCCCTCTGTAAAGAAAATAATATATTGAAAAACCTTCATACGAATTTCTTGTCTACATGGTATCAGAGCATACCGTTTGAAACCCTTTGAATCAAATCAAAAAATCACCCCTCGAAGAACAATGACAGACAAAGACTCCATCCCTCCTCAAGAACCTCGCCTTGTTGTTCAGGATGCTCCCTTCCCAACTGGGATCATCCTCGATGACACGAACTATTAGTTGTGGTCTCAACTGGTGGAAATGAGGATTGGAGCACGCAATCAATTGGGACCGGATCCTCCAAGAAGCCTGACTTGGGTGAAAAACAAATCGAAAATTGGCTCATGGATAATAATCGGGTCAAGAGTTGGATCATAGACTCGATGAGCCCCACCTTGATCCCGAGGTTTATCCGTTTGAAGACGGCGAAAGAAATCTGGGACGCGGTGGCAAACACGTTTTATTACGGGACGGGTGAAACACAATTGTTTGAACTAAATCGTAGGCCGTTCAATACAAGACAAGATAGAATGGATGACCCTCGCAGCATACTACAACGAATTGATAGGGATATTTCAGGAGATCGATACCCGGATGATGGTTCAGGAAGATGATGTGAGCGATGTAGTTTCGCTTAATAAAATATTAGGACTTCTCCGAGTACACATCTTTCTTGGAGGGTTAGATGCAGAATTTAACCAAGCACAAGGGGAGATCCTAAGAAAAGATCCACCCTTGGATCTTGAGGCGTGCTATGTGTTCATACGAAAAGACCAGTCCCAAAGAAACAATAAGGAAGACGTGAAGAATGAACTTGATAGTTTTGTGTATCTCACAGCTCGAAATCGCCGTTCAAAAGAAAAAATTCCAGCAACAAGAAAAACACTTTTGTGTGTACTCATTGTGGAGAAGAAGGGCACTCAAAACAGCAGTGTTACGAGATCGTAGGTTACCCGGAGTGGTGGGATTTTTCAAAGAAGCCACGAAGGAAGGTGGGACAAGCCTGTATTGCTATAACAAAGAATGATGAGGTGACCTTAATTGCTGCCCACACTGAGTCATTCAACAACCATGGTACGTCAACTACAACTAAGCCTGTGATTAGTGAATGGATTATTGATACATGTGCGACGGATCACATGACAAATGATCCGTCTAAGCTGGCATTAAAAACTCGGCCTAAGCAAAACATGGTGAAAACAGCAAATGGGGGTTAGCCAAAGTAACATGTGAAAGTTCTGCTCAAGTGTCGAATTCTATGAATCTTGACACTGTCGTGGTTGTTCCATCCTTGTCATCGAATCTATTTTCTATCAGTCAGATCATAGATCAACTTAACTGTTATGTAAGTTTTTGGCGAAAAAAATGTGTGTTTCAGGACATTGTGATGAATCGGACTCTTGCCTATGGTATTAGGTAGGGAAAGTTGTACTATATGGAAGAAGAAAGACCAGCTAAAGCATACGACATGGAAGAAGGAAGTTCTTTATCTTGGTTATGGCATCGTAGATTAGGGCATTTGTCGTTCGGTTATTTGAAAAAACTTAAACCGAAATTGTTTTTGAATAATAAACAGTTTGATTCTAATTGTAATGTGTGTGAAAGGGCCAAAAGCCATCGGATTTCGTATTCCCAAAGTGAGAATAAAACTACTATTCCCCTCATGAAGATCCACTCTGATGTGTGGGGTCCGACAAGAATAGCTACTCCGAATGGGTATCATTTTTTTGTTACTTTAATTGATGAATTCTCATGAATGATTTGGATTTCCCTGTTAAAACATAAAAATGAAGTAATACATGCCTTTAAAGAATTATACAAGTTAATAAAATCTCAATACAAGTGTGAGATAGAGATCCTCCAATTTGATAATGGAGGAGAGTATGTGAACCATGACATACAAGTATTTTGCAGGGATAACTCTATTAGACACCAAACATCATGTTCAAATACGCCTCAACAGAACGGACACGCAGAAAGGAGAAATAAACAAATACTTGAAATTGTGCGAGCCTCTTTATTTGACATGAAGATTCCATGCTAATACTAGGGAGAAGCGGTAAGAAATGTTGCATATTTGATGAATAGAACACCGTCAAGAATTATAGAGTTTAAAACTCCGCTGCAACTGTTACATGAAAAACTAGATATTCTGATTGGGTCCAATCTCGAACCACACATATTTGGGTGTGCAACATATGTACACTCTAATACTGGAAAACTAGAACCGCAGGCAATAAAGTGTATGTTTCTAGGGTAAGCTGACTTCAAAAAGGGGTACCGATGTTACGACCCGAAAGAAAAGAAAATGTATGTTACTTGTGATGTTAATTTCCATGAGAACGCCTCTTATTTTACTCATGAATATTCCCCTCAGGGGGAGAAGTCGAATGAGGGTAACATGCATGATATCAATAAAGATATTGGGCTGGATGAAGTAATAGATGGACTCGAATTAGATGCAAATGGGCTAGAAACGCATGAAGATGGGCCAGAAATGACTTACGAGCCTGGCAATTTCGAGCAAGGTAGTACAACGAGACCAAGCCCAACCTATACCGAGTCGGATCCAACATCACCACAAGGTAAATTAACTAATGAAAACTCTAACAGTTCTCATGAGAATGTCAATGCACAGGCAATCCTAGAGACGAGATATCCTGTGAGAAAAAATAGAGGGATACCATGGAGGCAATACTAACCGGATCTTACGTCAAAGTTGAAGTACCCGATCAATCACTACGTGTCCACATATAAGTTGTTCGAACCACAACGATGCATGGTGGAGGAGTTAGCCACTGTAGTCATCCCAAAAACCATACAAGAAGTTATGAGAGATCTAAAGTGGAAAAAGGTTGTATATGAACAGTTAGATGCATTAAAACATAATCAAACGTGGGATGAAGTAGTACTCCCTCCAAGAAAGAGAACCGTAGGGTGAAAATGGGTCTTCACGGTTAAACTAGATTCGAATGGAAAGGTAGAGAGGTATAAGTCCAGACTAGTTGCGAAGGGCTATACACAGAAGTACGGCATAGACTATGGGGATACTTTTGCACCGGTGGCGAAAATAAATACTATTAGAATCCTGGTGTCAATTGTTGTAGAGACTGGCCACTTAAACAATTCGACGTAAAAAACGCATTTTTAAATGGCTACTTGGAAGAAGAAGTGTTCATGGAATCCCCACCCAGAATGAATTTTGGTGACAAAGTATGCAAGTTGAATAAGGTGTTGTACGGACTAAAACAGTCCCCAAGAGTGTGGTTTGGGAGGTTTTAAAGGTTCATGAAAAATGTTGGACATAAACAGTCAGATGCTGATCATACTTTATTCATAAAGAACTGTGGGATGAAGATAACCGCCCTGATTGTGTATGTCGATGACATGGTAGTGACTGGCAATGATCCTGATGAAATAAACAAACTACAAGCAATATTGGGTAAGGAGTTTAAGATGAAGGACCTTGGAAACTTGAGATATTTTTTTGGGTATTGAGGTGGCGAGGTCCAAACAGGGAATTACAATGTGCCAACGAAAGTATGTACTTGATCTCCTTACTGAGACAGGTATGTTGGACTATCAACCGATTGACACACCTATAAAAGTTAACTACGGGTTGACTCTCCTATCGGGTCATATACCAACAAACAAAGAACGATATCAGAAATTGGTCGGAAAACTAATATATTTATCGCATACATTCCCTGATATTGCGTATTCAGTAAGTGTAGTTAGCCGTTTTATGCATGCACCAAATGAAAGCCACATGAAAGCCGTATATAGAATCCTTCACTATTTGAAGTCTTCACCAGGAAATGGGTTGTATTTTATGAAGAATGGAAATCTAGAAGTCATGGGCTATACAGATGTCGACTAGGCTCGAGATAAGTCTGATGGTAAGTCCACTTCAGGGTATTTCACTTTTGTAGGAGGAAACTTAGTGACTTGGAGAAGTAAGAAATAAAAATTGGTGTCTCAATCAAGTGCAGAAGCAGAGTTTCGGGGCATGGTTCATGGAGTGTGTGAGTTATTGTGGGTAAAACGGGTGCTAAGGGATCTTAGCATTGGTGTAAATGAAGCTATGAATCTTTATTGCGATAATCAAGCGGCTGTGAAAATTGCAAACAATCTGGTTCAACATGATCGAACAAAACATGTTGAAGTAGGTCATCATTTTATTAAAGACCACCTCGAGAAGAAAACAATAATTTTGCCGTTTGTTAACTCGAAGGAGCAGCTAGCTGACATGCTAACTAAGGCGGTGAATGCAAGACTAGTTAGTGACTCTCTGGACAAGTTGGGAATGCTCGACATTCATTCACCAGCTTGAGGGGGAGTCTTGACGAGAGTGAATAACGGATGAGATCAAACTATCTATGGTTAGTATTGAGAAGATCAAATAAACATGGAAGTTATTGGGTGTTGTTACATACATATCCCTTCCTTGTATAGCTCCTTATTTTGTGTACAAATCCCTATATATGCAATCCCTCTATAAAGAAAATAATATATTGAAAAACCCTTCATATGAATTTCTTGTCTACAGATACACATTTAAGTGTGAGGGTATATACAGCCACATACAAATAAGTGTTGTAAACATCAAAATAGAAATTGAAAGATGAATGACATCACATACCTCTTGGCTATTCTGAAGCAATTCAATGTTTCTTCCGGTTTCTTCACAAGGTCTCCTACCATCTATAGTCACATTCATAAGTGTCCTCACATTAGAATTGCTCACGGTCGGCATGAATACGTTTACAAACCTCTCACAACTTCTTATTTCTATTATTTCAATAGCTTGAAAGCTACGGATGAGAATATCAAAGCTACATTCACCTTTCATGCTCCACAACTCTCTTAGCTTCCCCAAACCATTTACATAAATAAATCTCAAGTTGCTACTTAATTCTTCAATTTCACCAACACAACTCATGTCGATGTTAAATAACACTTCAATGCTTCCACATTCAGAAACATGAAGCTCTTCCAAACGACCCAGCAAAGACATGGGATTGGTTGGAAACAGATTCACAAGATTATCACATTCCATCACCTCAATCTTTGTCAACATGCAGGCATTAACTTCATCACTACTACTAAATTGATAAGGCCATATCTCTTTCAGCTTATCCATCCTCCTAATTCGCAATATCTCCAACTTAGAAACCAACATCTGCACAACAATTAAGACATGGTTATCATCAATAGCAGCATCCAATCAATATATTGTGCTATTATATTAAATATATTTTTCTTAAGGGATGCCCAAAATAATATATAAAGTTTCAATACTTAGTCAATCCATGTAACTATTAACATAAATGTTAATATAGATGTACCTCTTTGTTCAAGAATGGTTGATTTTTAGAAACGTTACTGGATATAGAAGATATTGCAGATGTATTCCTAGGATAAATGCTAGTGAAATTAGGAAGGCCATCTAGTATCAACTCCACTAGCTCTGGTAGCTCAATTACATTAGCAGTGTTGCAAAGACCAACCAACTTTGGTAGCTTATCCAAAGATAGAAACTTTAGCTCCTGAAACTTAATTACACCATCTCCACCATTGTCATTATATGCCAGTACATCCAGAACAGGGCACTCTGATACTGTGAGACGCTCAAGCTTCGTCAAACCACTTACCATAGGAACTGTGAAGAGGCATTTCAAGTTTGAACACTTGAAAACATCAAGGACTCTTAAATTATTAAACGAATGTTGAGGCACACATTTAGGTTCCACTAAAACTTCTTCAAGATCCTTCATCCCATCCACCTCCAAATAAAGCGTCTGGGTTTCCTCAAACAACTCATTCATGCTAGATTCCAACAGCTCATCTTTGCTAGTGACCAACATCAATTTGTTTTCAAATGAATGCTTCTTGAAGCTTGTATAATCTCCTAAAGCATGTCCCATGGAGATCCTGAACCTTTTAAGTTTCTTAAACACGATATTCATGGGCTTACCACTGTTATCAAAGAACTCAACTTTTAATGCAAAAAGGTTCTCTGGCATTTCTGCTAATTCAGCATGATTGTTGTCTGTGAACCTAATTGCCTTTTTGCCATCTACTCTCATATAAAGCTCTTCAAGCTTGACCAAACTTTTCAAGACACCGTCATCAATCTGAAGGTTGATACAACCCGTCAAATCCAATAGCTTTAGCTTCTTCAAATTTCCAATTGTGGATGGTAACTTTCTGATCCCACAATGTGCAAAACTGAGCACTTCTAGATTCAAGAGTTATCCAATAACAGAGTGTAGCACCTGGTTCCTGGTACGTAAAATTTATCTTAGTATTCTTCATTTTTAGCCTTGGACTCGGCGAGTTGTAGGTCCGACTCGCCGAGTAGGGACGGGGTCCGGATCACGTTTAAGTTGGCGACTCGGCGAGTCCATATTCTGGACTCGGCGAGTCCCCGCTGTCTGATGAAACCCTAAATTTCAAGGGTTTGCACCCTATTTAAACCCCTTATCTGCCCCTAAGCTCGCCCCCTTCACCCTCAGAGCTCCCCATAACGTCCAACCCTTGTTCCTTGTGAGATTGAAGTGCTTTGGTGTGTTTCTTGAAGATTTTGAGAGAAAAGGAGAGTAGATCAAGAAGAGAAGAAGGAGACCAGACATCTTGGTGTTATTTCAGTGATTTCCTTGAGGTATAACTCAGTTTCCCTCTGTTTTCATGCTCATTATCCCTTGTAGCTCCATGGAAGTTCTTCTTGAACCTTTTTCCCAAGCTTGTTTGTGTCTTAGGGTTCGTAATAAGTTGTTAAGCCTCTAGATCTAGGCATGATTGTGTTGGATAAGGTGTCTAAGTCCATAACTATTTCTGGTGTGTACTTGACCCGACCCGGGATGGTCCATTTGGGTTGCATGGCACCATGCAATTGGATAGACTAAATGAGAGAAATAACACTTGGAGATTATTAATATATTATAAGTTCTAATATATTAATAATATTATTTGATTAGTTTGATCAAGAATTAATTTAGAATTAATTAAGTGATCAAAAGATAACGAATTAAATATATGGGTTGATTATGTAAATCATTCATATCTTGTATAGTGGGCTAAGAGGCTCCATGGATTATCAAGTTGGGTTCTACCCATAGGATGCTCCATGGATGCTCCATGGGAGTTACAAAACCATGGGTCATGGAAATGAAGAGTCATGACACATTAGGGTTTACATGGTGTAACCCTAGATGTGTCAACACTATATAAGAGTCCTATTCTCCACAAAATTAGCTACACACAATACACTATATGAAACAAGAGGGCTAGGCCAATTTCAAGGAGTGTGAATTCTCTCAAAAGTCTTTCCAAGAGCATTTGGTGTTGTGTGAAGCATTTGAGGCATCACACTTGGGGTGCTAGTCTCACAAGGTTTCAAGGAACATAAGCAACAACAAGGTAAGTTATTCTATCTTTCATTCAAGTAAAAAGTTGTTCCCCATGTATGCTAGATAGGAATATAACCTTGGAATTCAACTTTGCATGATAATTAGACAAACATAGATCCAAGGTTATTAGGGTTGCATGTACACTTAGGAAGTGTTAGAATGCTCAAAACCCATCAGTGGTATCAGAGCCTAGGCTTGTTTGATTGTTATTTGTGCTTAAAAGTTGAAAAAAGTCGAAAAACTTGCTGTCTGCCTGATGAACTCGCCGAGTCCATGCGGAGATTCGCCGAGTTCACTTGTATCTTCAACCTACTCGCCGAGTAGGTTCATGCACTCGGCGAGTAGGAGCCACAGAGTGTAGATTTTCGATTTTAGTTGCTGGAAATGGACTAGAAACATTACCCTAAACTGTTTTGGTACTTGAAAACTTGTTTTAGCTGGTGTAATGTCTTTGCTAATTCATTTACAACAACTAGTTATCAAAATTACAAAGTTTAAGTGTGATTTTGATTCATGAAAGTGTTCATATTCATGTTCTTGATCTTATGATGTTTAGATGATCATAGGAATTATTTGTAACCTATGTGGTAGATTAATTCTTGATCATAATGTGTTTTAATGGAGTCCATAACTTGTCTTCAAGTTATGGAAAACCAAAAGTCACTTGGATTAAAAACCATTAAAAGAACATAAGAGTTAGAAAAATGAAGAGTCTTCATTTTATTACTCTATTAAACTCATAAGTTACAAGAAATGAAAAGTTTTGAATGTTTACAAAACTTGCCCTCAAGTTTTGGAACAAGTAAAGTCAAGTTAAAACTTTAGTTCCAACCCTTAGAATTTTAAAAGTTAAAATTCAACCCTTATACTTATATTATTATGATTTAATAATTATATATATGTATAAGAACAAAGTCGTCTTACCGCTAGTACGCCTCATTCACGAAGCCGGTCTATAAGGTGGGTATAAGGTTGTTGCCTATAAAATGGCAAGTTAATGTGTGTCCACTCTCACCCACCGCTTGCTTGACTGGTGGAGGGTCGTTAGCCGAACGGGTAAGACAAGGATTTATAAATTCTCATTTAAAGTATGATGAATATTATAAAGTAACTAAATGTTTTATTAAATTCCCAATCTTAGTTACTTTAGGAAAAATGTGAATAAGGTGCTAATCCATGAAATTACACTTTACACTTTGTTTAAGTCGTTGGTGGAGTGTGTGTGGTTAATCGGCACACTAACTTGGACTTAACAAGGTAGGTAAAGGGTGACTTAAGGTTTATTATAGTATCGGTGGAGCGTGTGTGGTTTACCGGCACATTGATTGAGTGATACACTTTAAGGGTACCAAGTGATTTGCATGGTTACTTCACACCTCGTTTTGTGATCCTCGGTATCCCAGTCACAAAACTTGGAGGGCACACTCGAGATTGAAACATGCCTTTGAAAAGTTCATTGAATCTCAAAGAATCTAGGAATTTCTAAGAACCAATCAAAAACCTAATATTTAAATATTTCGGTTTTCATGGTGGAAATTGGTGAATTGTCATTCACCTACCTTTCGAATATGTTATAGCTTGGATTACGACATACCTCTTCTAAGTTATAATATATTGTGATTGGATCCTTGCCTTAATATTACATTTTGGTGTTTTATTAAGGACTCTCTTAATATCTAAACTAATCTTGTTCTCTTCTTTCAGATGTCTTCAGACAATGCTGCTTCTGGATCTAATCCTAATGGCTCCTTTACCCTTATGAACTTGTGTGGGAAAGTCACCTTTGATGGATCCAACTTCAATGAGTGGATCAGAAACATCAGGATGATTACCCGCTACGAGGACAAAGAATATGTCCTTGACAAGGAACTTAAGGAGATTGATGAGACCACTGCAACTCCTCAGGAGATCGCTGACTTTCAGGCACATGAAAGGGATGCTACGAAAGTGGCTTGCATCATGATGGCCATGATGACAGTGGAACTCCAAAAGTCTTATGAGGATTTCTACCCTTATGAAATGCACCAAGATCTGATGGAAAGATACCATCAAAGTGCACAACAAGAGAGGTATGAAATCATCTACTCCATGATAACAACCATGATGAAGGACGGGGAATCCGTCACGAGCCACATGCAGAAAATGCAAAGGTATGTGGATCGATTGCTGAAGCTAAATGTGAACTTCCCAGAGGAGCTTGCAATAGATATCATTTTGCACTCCTTACCATCATGCTATGATCAATTCCGCATGACATATCACATGAATAAGGAAGAGGTAACACTCAGCAAACTTCAGGGACTTCTCAAGACTGCAGAAACAGGTCTTAAGGGGAAGTCGGTTGTTAACACTCCTACTCCAAACTCAACTCCGGTTTTGGCAATCGGGAAAAGTCGAGGGAGGAAGAGAAAGAGCTCTTCAAAGGGTACCAAGGCTCGGACCCTTTATGGCTCTTCTTCAAGTGGAACCAAGAAAGGTTTCATCACTCCTTCTTCTGACCCAAAAGAGGCTGAATGCTTCTATTGCCATGAAAAGGCTCATTGGAAGCGGAACTGCCCAAAGTACTAGCAGGATGTGAAGGATGGGAAAGTTAAACCCAACCATGCAGGTATTTACACTATCTTATCTAATAACTCACCCCATTCTCAATCTTGGGTCCTTGATACCGGTTGTGGTATTCATATTTGTTGTGACTTGCAGGGACTAAGAAGAAGTGAGAATGTGGAGCAAGGAAGAATAAACTTGATCATGGGGAATAGGAAAGCTTCACCTGTCACCAAGATTGGAGTTTATACTTTATCGCTAAGTAGTGGGTTTAGTTTAGATTTGAATAAATGTTGTTACTCGCCAGGAATGGCAAGAAATATTATTTCCTTTCATGCTTTGTACAAACAAGGGTTTACTTTTCATTTAATAATGAAGTTGGTTCTATTGATGCTTTCTTTAATAATGTTCTTTATTTTAAAGCATTACCCTGTGATGGTGTGTATGAAGCTGTATCTGTTGTAGATAACTTAGGAAATAATGTTTTGTGTATTGATTCTATTAATAATAACTTGGATAAAGCATCATTATGGCATTGTCGTCTTGGACATATAAGCAAGAAACGCATAGGCCAACTCCAAAAGGATGGAGTCTTGGAGTCGTTTGACCTAAAGTCAGATGATAGTTGCGAATCATGCTTACTTGGAAAAATGACAAAGTCACCCTTCACAGGCTCGTGTGAAAGGGGTGAAGGTTTGTTGGACCTTGTACACACGGATGTGTGTGGACCATTCAAACATGCCACAAGGGATGCTAATCGTTATTATTTGACTTTTACAAATGATTACAGTAGATATGGATATGTCTACTTAATCAAGCATAAGTCAGAGACTTTCGAGAGGTTTAAGGAATTTAAACAGGAAGTCGAGAATCAATTGGGCAGGAACATTAAGATGCTTCGATCCGATCGAGGAGGTGAGTATCTTAGTTCAGAGTTCCTCGACTATCTTAGGGAATGTGGGATTGTCTCACAATTGACACCTCCTAGGACACCACAGTTGAATGGTGTGGCTGAGAGGCGTAATCGAACCTTATTGGATATGGTTCGTTTCATGATGAGTCGAGCTTCGCTACCAATCTCATTCTGGGGGTATGCCTTAGAGACTGCCGCCCATATCCTTAATCTAGTCCCT